GAAGGGGATGACAGAGGATGAGATGGTTCGATGGCATCACCGACTCGATGGACATGAGTTTGAGTAAACTCTGGGAGTTGGTGATGGACAAGGAGAACTGGCGTGCTACGATTCATGGGGTCGCAAAAAGTCGGACATGACTGAGCGACTAAACTGAACTGAACTGAACTGAGTGTTCCCTTTGCCTGTACCTCAGAAAGAGAAGCAACTTGCAGACCTGATCAATGAGAACCAAGGTCTCTACGTTTTTTCTTTTTTTGAGCAGAGAAAGGTTTATTGCAGGGCCATGCAGGGAGACAGGTGACTCATGCCCCCCAAACCCCAAAGTCCCCGAAGGGTTTCAGTGAAGCATTTTTATTATTTTTTATAGAACCATTTCCATTTATTATACCTCATTTGATTCTCACATTTATTCACACAGCACTCAATTAACATTTGATTGCACTCAGACAATGGGTACGCAGCTGGTCACAGGTAGTTTACATTCTAGTAAGGAAGGGAAACACTAAGGAAGTAAAAGAGAACATTTCAGATAGTTTTTTTTTTTCCATTTATTTTTTTAGTTGGAGGCTAATTACTTTACAATATTGTAGTGGTTTTTGCCATACACTGACATGAATCAGCCATGGATTTACATGTATTCCCCATCCCATTGAGGAACACTAAACAAGTAAAAGATAAAATTTCAGGTAAATTACTTCCGATGGAGCAAGTCGAGGGTAATCCACTTCAGATGGAGTGAGAGTTGTAATCAACAGATAGAATGGTCATATGGCATCTCCAGAGAAGTTGATATTTGTAGGGAGACCTATTGTCCAAAAGAAGCCAGCCCATGGAGATCATGTAGAAGTCATTATAAGCCAAAAGGAACTTCATATGCAAAGGTCCTGAGGTAGGAATTAGCAGTGTCTCTAATTTTATGTGCTTTCAGTTCCAGTGTTTCAGGGTAATTTCCATATGTGAAGTTTGTGATTTTATTTCCATTAGACAAATAACATAAAGCTCAGCACTCCAAGAAGCTTTTGGTTTTCTAATTCATGTTTGTTCTATTATTATTGGCAAACAGAGGATCTTGGCTAATATCTCCAGGAAGTCAACAAAAGTCTTAAGAGTTTAAAGAGTCAGACATGACTGAGCGACTGAACTGAGCTGAACTGAAGTCCAGTCCACAATTGGCCTTATCACACACCTGCTTTCTTCCTGGTAATTAATGTGGCTTTTGTATAGTATACATGCTTGGTTAAATGAGAAGATGTTACAAGAACTGGAATTTAGGAACAATTAATATCAAATAATGCAGCAACCTCCAGGGAAGGAAACTATAAAAAGCCTAACCATGTGCCCCAGTTTGCCTGGAACAGTCCTTGTTAATGCCTCTTGCCCCAGTGCAATCCTTAATAAAAAACCATTTCACTCTCAAAAATGACTCAGGTTAAGTAACAAATTCTATGCTAGCTCTGGTAATAAGCCACTAGGGCAGTGGATATGGAGCCCTTGAAGGTGTGGGATGGGAGGACGCTCTATAAAAAGTGAACAACCATGTGGGTATATCTAAGAGCAGAGAAGAGAGGAGCAGGGATGGGAAAGACCAGGCCACCCAAGAGCAGGTTGGAGCTTGCAGACTAGAGCAGGACCTCTTAATATTAAACTTGATATTGCTGTGCTGTTATGATTTAAACTTGCATCTCACCCTCACAACCTCTATAACAAAGCTGGCTGCACCATTACTGCTTTATGTGAGAAATGGTTCAGGAGTTAAAGGAAAAGACAGCATGTCACCAGTTTAGGTCAGTGTGAATCCACTCAGTGACGAGGCAGGAGTTCAGAGCTGAGGGTAACTCAGTTCAGTTCAGTCACTCAGTTGTGTCCGACTCTTTGCGACCCCATGAATCGCAGCACTCCAGGCCTCCCTGTCCATCATCAACTCCTGGAGTTTACCCAAACTCATTTCCATTGAGTCGGTGATGCCATCGAACCATCTCATCCTCTGTCATCCCCTTCTCCTGCCTTCAATCTTTCCCAGCATCAGGGTCTTTTCCAATGAGTCAGCTCTTCGCATGAGGTGGCCAAAATATTGGAGTTTCAGCTTTACATCAGTCCTTCCAATGAATATTCAGGACTGATTTCCTTTAGCATGGACTGGTTGGATCTCCTTGGAGTCCAAGGGATTCTCAAGACTTCTCCAACACCACAGTTCAAAAGCATCAATTCTTCAGCACTCAGCTTTCTTTATAGTCCAACTTTCACAACTATACATGACTACTGGAAAAATAGCTTTAACTAGACAGATCTTTGTCGACAAAGTAATGTCTGTGCTTTCTAATGTGCTGTCTAGGTTAGTCATAACTTTTCTTCTAAGGAGCAAGCCTATTTTAATTTCATGAATGCAGTCCCCATCTGCAGTGATTTTCAGTTCAGTTCAGTTCAGTTCAGTTGCTCAGTCATGTCTGACTCTTTGCAACCCCATGAACTGCAGCACACCAGGCCTCCCTGTCTATCACCAACTCCCGGAGTTTACTCAAACCCATGTCCATCGAGTCGGTGATGCCATCCAACCATCTCATAATCTGTCATCCCCTTCTCCTCCTGCCCTCAATCTTTCCCAGCATCAGGGTCTTTTCAAATGGGTCAGCTCTTCGCATCAGGTGNTCTTTCCCATTCTATTGTTTTCCTCTATTTCTTTTCACTGATCACTGAGGAAGGCTTTCTTATCTCTCCTTGCTGTTCTTTGGAACTCTGCATTCAAATGGGTATATCTTTCCTTTTCTCCTTTGATTTTGGCTTCTCTTCTTTTCACAGCTATTTGTAAGGCCTCCTCAGACAACCATTTTACTCTTTGCATTTCTTTTTCTTGGGGATGGTCTTGCTCCCTGTCTGATGTACAATGTCATGAACCTCCGTCCATAATTCATTAGGCTCTCTATCAGATCTAGTCCCTTAAATCTATTTCTCACTTCCACTGTATAATCATAAGGGATTTGACTTAGGTTGTACCTGAGTGGTCTAGTGATTTTCCCCACTTTCTTCAATTTAAGTCTGAATTTGTCAATAAGGAGTTCATGATCTGAGCCACAGTCAGCTCCCTAACTGGGGAAGCCATAAACAACTCATTCCCTCTCCAGAATAACAAGATACGCTGGATATATATGTGTGTTGGAAGAAGTGGTACATATCTGCTACCCACTGTGTGATGAGATTGAGCCGTTAATTAGAATCTCAAAGGATGGGATACTTCAGATGAATTTTGACCTGAAGCCGACAGTTTCATTGAGGAATTTAATTTATTTATTTTTAATATTTACTTATTTGACTGCATCAGGTCTTAGTTGTGGTGTACAGGTTTAGCTGTCTCACAGCATGTGGGATCCTAGTTCCCTGTCCGGGGATCAAACCCACGTCCCCTGCATTTCAGGGTGGATTCTTAACCACTGGACCACTAGGGAAGTCCTGAGGAACTTTAAGAGTCCTAAGACCTGTGTTTAATTATCATAGGATGCTGTTTACTCGATATCCTCTTTACTAGGACCCACAAGAAAATCTTCTTTTAGGTTTCATTATTGGGCATGGTTAGGCTAGTTTTGAATAATTAATTTATTTGCTTTATAGACTCAGTCAGTCATGGAGGTGATCTTACTTCCCTCTGTCTCTTGGTTGCTGGGTCCAAATCTGGCTCTATCTTCAGCCACCAAAGTGCCTTATCATACCCACTTTGGGATTAAGCTTCACTCTTAGCTCCATCACTCTTTCTCTCTCTTATTTTTCTTATGACCCAATTTCCTCATTCATCTAGTCTTACTTTCTTTAATGTATTATGTTTTAATTTTTTATTAGTGACCTTAATTCATTTTTTTAGTAAATTTTTTTAATTAAAAGATATTTGCTTTACAGAATGTTGTTTTTTGTCAAACATAAACATGAATCAGCCATAAGTACATATATGTCCCCTCCAATTAATCAGACTTCTCCAGAAAATTTCAAGTTTCTATTTTTTTCATCTTTTCTTCCTTTTTTTCTTTCTTTTTCACTTTATTGAGTGGCATGTGAGATCTTAGTTCCCCCCCCCAGAGATTGAACCCATGACCCTGGCAGTGGAAGTGTTGAGTCCCAACCACTGGACTGCCAGGGAAGTTCCCAGTGCTTTATTTTTGACTTAATATTATTTTTCATATGTCATAGTACTTTACTCCTATTAAAGTGATAGGAGGCAGAATTTTCCTATGTGTTGGTTTTTTTGGTAAAAATCCTGAAAAATTTCTGCAAAGCACATACTGCAAAGAGACAGTGAGTTCTAGTTCCATGAAAATCTCATGGAGGTATGAGATATTGGACATGGAATTGGGAGAAATGGTTGGAGGCTGTTAGAAAGATAAGGAGGGCAGTAGGTGAAATGACCAGTTTGTTTGTTTGTTTATGGAGCTAAATAAGAGTCAAGATGCTAAGGATGACTTTCTTGATTAGGTAAAACTTGGATTAAATAGGAATGATGGTGGGATAACCTGGAGGGATAACTTGAGGTGTTTCAACAAGTACTTATTAAAATTATAATAACTGTAAATATATCCTTGTAAGATTAACCACAAGTGAGTTGACCCAGTTGAGTTGAACTTTGAGCCTGCAGGGTCTAGATATAGGGCTTCCCTGGTGGCTCAGATGGTAAAGAATCTGCCTGCAATGCAGAAGGCCCAGATTCAATCCCTGGATTGGGAAGATCCCCTGAAGAAGGGAACGGCAACCCACTCCAGTATTCTTGCCTGGAGAATCCCATGGACAGAGGAGCCTGGCGGGCTACAGTCCATGGGGTTACAAAGAGTCGGACACGACTGAGCAACTACACTTTCACATGGTCTAGACTTTAAAAGAATGCTGGCAGTAATATCCTCTACTTAATTCTCCTTACGAGATGTTGTTCCCCATCTTGAAAACATGTCATTATGTCTGGTCAAAGGCGATTATTGCTTATGAAGACCCCATACATGAAAAGAAAGGCAGGACTCTACTCGTGCCAGAAACACAAGCTAAATCTTTTATTAGGTTCTAAAGGAGAAATGTGGAGAATTTAAAACTTCAGTAAAAATCCATCACCCGTCTTAAAGAACCAACTTTGGCATTCATTGCCCCCCAGTCAAGATATCTCCGGTACTCCCCTGGCCTCAGCAGGTACTGCCTTCCCCTGTAGTTTGGCATCTCGTAGAGGACCCAGGAACCCTCCAGCACGTTGAGGGAGTGAACCTCATTGAGATGGAAGCGGTCTTGAAGAGAGGGACAATCGTCTGTGATCTCTGACATCTGTCCTCTGAAGTCATCTCTCTCGTAGATTCTCATTCTGAAAGTGCCGGTGTGCTGAGCGACAGATGGAACAGAAAAAGGAAATGGACACAAACAGAGAGAAATTAAAGTTCTAGCCGCTGCACTCCCTGGTCACACCTGCCCCAAAGCTCTCTTAGTCCAAGTCTACAACAACCATGTTTGCAGGTTAAGCTGCCTTCCCTGCCCTCATCGCCCACCTGTGAATCTAACAACTGGGCTAACCTAGAAACAGAACACGGCAGCCCTTCAGTTGCCATGTACCACCCTCTCTCCTTGAGAAGTAAGGTTGGTCTACAATAAGACTGATTATTTTAGGACTTCTTATCAGAGAAAGTTCCTCTCCAAGTAGAAAAGTAAGCATCATTGGAAAGTGAAGCCTCATTTGATCTATTACTCTTGTTAAAAAGGAACCAAAATTTAGCTATTTTCTGTAAGGCCAATGTTTTGGTTTTCATGTTTACTTTGGAACAAAGGATTATGAAGCGCTTGTTTGAGAAAAAAAAAAAGATGGCACATTTTCTCTTCTTCTGTCTTTGTAACCTCATTTTCAGTTCAAATTTCAACCTATGTGACAATCAAGCTTCCTTTCTGACCTCCTACCCTTCCCTTCCTCACTCCCCCAGCAGCAGGAATCATCTTCATGAAACTTGGATGTTTCATGAAGTTTGGATGACACTTATCCCACCCCCTACCCCCCAACTCCCACGAATTCTTCTAAGAACTCTGCAATCACTCTCTGGGAAATACTGGATCTCAAACTTTAGTTTTGATGAGGCCTTTCCTCTGATTCCTACCCCTAAGCAAGCTAATAGGTACGGATTACAAAATTAGAATAGAAATCAGGGGGCCTGTCTTCTCTAGGAGGATAATCGAATAGAAAAGTAAGTCAAAGCAAGCAAAAGTATTTTTATCAATTAAACAGACCCAGATTGTATTTATAAATTTGGATATACTGGGTTTCTGAGTTGACATGGCTTGTAATGACCACTTAAAAAAAATATTATATCTTGGAGTAGGAGTTTAGGGTTAGCAGATGCAAATTTTTGTATATAGAATGGAGGCCCTACTATACAGCACAGGGAACTATATTCAACATCCTGTGATAAACCAAAATGGTAAAGAATATAAAAATGTATGTACAACTGAATCTCTTTGCTGTACTGCAGAAATTAACACATTTTAAATCACCTATACTTAAATTAAAAAAAAGAAATGATATCTTGAACAGAGGATAACTTTAGTCTCTTCTATGACATGCTTTCTCTTAATGCGTCTTTTTATCTTTGACTACATTTAAAATATAAAACACTGGGAATCTGTGATTTAAAAAAAAACAAAACACAGAGTTCATGAAGAATGGCTTCCCATGTGAGACACCCCTCTAGAATGGACTGCATGCCCTGGGCTCACTCCCACTTCCTGCCATCTAGTTAGAACGATTTGGTTGAAGAAGGCTATTTCTTAATGGCTTTGATTTCCAAAGAAACGGAAGACAAAGAGGGGACCAGGCTCACTTGCGGGATGAGGCGGCAGGAGCGGATGGAGTCGCTGAGGCCCATCCACTGCTGGTAGTCGGGGTAGTCTCCGCGCCGCAGGAAGTACTGGTGGCCCTGGTAGTTGGGGCGCTCATACAGCATCCAGCAGCCGCTGTCCACGCGGATGGAGTTGCAGCGGCTGAAGTAGGGCTGCAGGTTGGGGTGGTCGCTGCTGCACTCGTAGCAGTGGCCCTGGAAGCCCCGGTCCTCGTAGAAAGTGATCTGCAAAATGGAAGATGTAGGAGCATGAAGCGATTTGCAGCCCCGCTGGAGATGCCGCGACGGGCCAAAGGCGGCGCAAAGGTTCCCCGCACTTACCTTTCCCATGTTGGCGATGAGGGAGCAGGAGGTGTTCGCTGGGTGCTGTGTGGGACTAGGGGGAGGGCCGCTGTATATATAGCAGCCCTGACTGCTGCCTCCGCAGGAAATCACACAAAAGGGGCCTATTTCGGTGAGTAAGGGGATTTGCAAGCTCTCCGCTCCTCCTCCCCCTGGCCACTGGGGTTAGCTGAATGTTTACTCTCATTCTTTCTGGTAGGTTCGGGTTTTTCTAATTCACAAAAGCTGTTGTTGCCACCAAAATGAAAAGTCTTTCCTCTTTAGAAGGATGAGCAAAATTCTATCCCCATGCTTTTAATTTATAGCCTACTCTGCTTAACTGACTCCTTAAAGGTAATTAAACACTGTGTTCTGCTTAGGGACGGGTGTTTTAAAAAAAATTCTTGAAAATAAGAACTTTAATATCTTAAGGAAGAGGGAATCAAATGAAGTAATTTGTGAAAATGCTTTGAAGAGCATAAAGTTAGTTCAAATTCAAGATTCTGTGATTATCAATGTTGTTGTTTGGGGGGCTATCTTGAGTGAAATTGACACTTAGCTGAAAATTTGTGGGCTCCCTGAGGCTGGGAATGATCCTTGTTCTTTTCTGTCCCTGGGCCCTGGAGCAGGGGATGGGCACAGAGTAGGCCCTCAGTCCTTGGCTTAATGAAAGCAGATGGTTGTGGCCTTCCTCTCTTCATGTCTCCCTGGGAGCCTGCACCCTTCCTTCAGCTGGTGCTGCCCAGAGATTGCTCGCTTTTTGGGGGTCCCTGGCCTCCTTCAAATGTCCTAAAATCTGTCTTTCCTCTTCACCTTGGTAAATTCCTGCTTCCTTGAGAAGGGTGATTTGAGTTAGTATAAGGATTAATGTAGGGGCTTCCCTGGTGGTTCAGTGGTAAGGAATCTGCCTGTAGTGCAGGAAGTGTGAGTTTGATCCCTGGGTCAAGAAGATCCCCTGGAGAAGGAAATGGCAACCCACTCCAGTATTCTTGCCTGGGAAATCCCATGGACAGAAAAACCTGGTGTGCTACAGTCCCTGGGGTTGCAAAAAAGTCAGACATAACCTTTTGACTGAAAAACAGCAAGGAGTAATGTAGAAACCCTCAAGGTGCCACATCCCTACTTTCTCAGACTTTTGAGATGCTAGACAGCACCCAGGCTAGACAACAGAGCACCTTCATAGTATGGACTTCACAGTGTGGTTCCGGGACCCCTAAAGTCCCCAAGACACTTCCAAGGGGTTCATATGGTCAGAACAGTTTTCATAACAATGTGTGTATGTGTGCTCAGTCGCTTCAGTCATGTCAGACTCTTTGCAACCCTAGGGGCTGTAGCCCACCAGGCTCCTCTGTCTGTGGGATATTCCAGGAGAGAATCCTGGAGTGGATTAATCTTCCAGGGAATCTTCCTGGCCTAGGGACTGAACCTGTGTCTCCTGTAGCTCCTGCATTGCAGGTGGATTTTTTTTTTTCTTTACTGCTGAGACACTGGGGAAGCCCCCAAGATGTTTTTGCCCTTTTCACTCTTCTTCCTTCACAAGTGTGCAGTGGAGTTTTTCCAGAGGCTGTATGACATGAAAGAGATTTGGCAAAATGTAAAGCAGTTTCAGCCTTTTCATTACTTGTTTTTTGCTTTGGAAAACATGGTTATTCTTCATAACATGTTATTTATGTTAACATGTAATAGATTTACTACCTAAGGCTCTTCCTATAAAAAGAGAAACCCACCATGGGTAGGGGGTCCCTCTATTGGAATAGAACCAAACAGTATGCAGCAGATACTGGCCCTGGCATGACCCTCTATGGAATGACAGAGATTAGGTGGTTACCATTTCCCCAGTGGCTCAGCTGGTAAAGAATCTGGCTGTAATGCAAGAGACATAGGAGACCTGGGTTCTATCTCTGGGTCAGAAGGATCCCCTGGAGAAGGAAATGGCAACCCACTTCAGTATTTCTTGTCTGAAAAATCCCATGGACAGAGGAGACTGGTGGGCTCCAGTCCACCCCAAAGAGTCGGAGACGACTGAGCATGCACATGTGCACTGCAGTCTTAGAAGCTATACACAAATCAGTGACTCAGGGATTAAAGAACCCTTTACAGTCAGCTAATGCTGAGATCCTAGAGCAGGTTGAAGAAATGAGTCTGGCAACAATGTCAATTGAAAAAGAGTGGCTCAGAACTAAAGAATTCGCCTGCCAATGCAGGAGACATGGGTTCGATCCCTGGGTCTGAAAGATCTCTCGGAGAAGGAAATGGCAACCCACTCCAGTATTTTTGCCTGGGAAATCCCATGGATGAAGGGGCCTGGTGAGAAGTACATAGGGTTGCAAAGAGTTGGGCACAACTTAGCAACTAGAACAACTATAATTTACCAGAATTCCTGTTAAAGCCAAAGATTCTCAAGGTTGATAGAGACAAAGCTTTACAAATTAAAAAAAAAAAAAAGGATGACATTGAACCTACTATGTCAAGTGTATAAGATATATATATATAGAAAGATAACTTCTAAAACAAGCCATGTTTTATGCAGAAACAGTTTATAGGCCTTCAAGGCTGACAAACCTGAGCTCAGTTCCCAGTTCCTCTACCTCCTAGCTGTGTGTTTTTTTATTTTATTTTGTTCTTGCTTTTTAAAAAAAAATTAATTTATTTATTTTAATTGGAGACTAATTACTTTACAATATTGTGGTGGTTTTTGCCATATATTCACATGAATCAGCCATAGGTATACATGTGTCCCTCATCCTGAATGCCCCCCCACCTCCCTCCCCATCCCATTCCTTAGGGTCATCCCATTGCACCAGCCCTGAGCACTTGTCTCATGCATCGAACCTGGACTGGCGATCTGTTTCACATATGATAATATACATGTTTCAATGCTATTCTCTCAAATCCACCCTTGCCTTCTCCCACAGAGCCCAAAAGACTGTTCTTTACATCTGTGTCTCTTTTGCTGTCTCGCATATAGGGTCATCATTACCATCTTTCTAAATTCCATATATATGTGTTAGTATACTGTATAGGTGTTTTTCTTTCTGACTTATTTCACTCTGTATAATAGGCTCCAGTTTCATCCACCTCATTAGAACTGATTCAAATGCGTTCTTTTTCATGGCTGAGTAATATTCCATTGTGTATATGTACCACGGCTTTTTTATCCATTCATCTGCCAATGGACATCTAGGTTGCTTCCATGTTCTGCCTATTGTAAACAGTGCTGTGATGAACATTGGGGTTGTATGTACCTTTTTAGGTTTGGTTCTCACAGTGATCGGCATGTGATTAGACTTGGTCATTTGGGACCCTTGGCCTGGACTGGGTGTTCAGAGAACCTCCTCTGGCTTCCTCTAGCTGCCGTCTTCCCCATAGGACAGGAATGTGTGGTGGCAATGCGGACATGCCCACACTTCTTAGAGACCACATTCCTTGTACCTGGAGCTCCAGAATTTCCTCCATTTACATCCTTGCTTCCAAAACCTAGAAGAGAATCTTTACCCACCCACCCAAGGACACTGTTCATAAAAGGGAGCCTATTTGTAGGACGTGATCGGGGGTGAGGGGAGGTGGAACATGTGGATGGAGCTTGGGCATGTGAAGGAGTGAGAAGAGAGGAGGGTGGGCCGTGGAGTTGTGATGGGGCTCTGCTTATGCTCTTGTCCCAGATCCCCCCTCTTGATAATAATTGTGCTATGTTAGCCACAAGATGTACTCTAAGATTTCTGGTATGATGTCTGGAACATGCACAACACTCTTTAGAAGGTAGGCTTTCATTATTAGCTATTACTATTTCATCATCATGAGCCAAATAAGTGATGCTGGAAGATCAGTCATACCCACTCCAGTGAGAGCAGACGCGGCTTCCTTCAGCAGGGTCATGTCAATGATGTGCCAGTGAGCTCAAGAGGTTTCATCTGGGAGACATGCCAGTGGCTACGCACTGTTTTCACTGAGACTTCCCACAGGCCTCAGGTAACTTTTGTTGTTGTTACTTAGTTGCTCAGTCATGTCCAGCTCTTTTGTGACCCCACGGACTGCAGCCCACCAGACTCCTCTGTCCATGGGATTTCCCAGGCAAGAATACTGGAAGGGGTTGCCATTTCATTCTCCAGGTGATCTCCACCCAGGGATCGAACCTGAGTCTCCTGCTTGGCAGGTGGATTCTTTACCCCTGAGCCACCTGGGAAGCCTCCAGGTAACCTCGGGCTGTGCTTAGTTGCCCAGTCGTGTCTGACTCTCCAGGACACCATGGACTATAGCCCGCCAGGCTCCTCTGTCCAGGGGGATTCTCCAGGCCAGAATACTGGAGCGGGTTGCCATGCCCTCCTCCAGGGGATCTTCTCAACCCAGGGATTGAACTCGGGTCCCCCACATTGCAGGCAGATTCTTTACCATCTGAGCCACCAGGAAAGCCCAAGAATTCTGACACATCCTGAACCGAATGTCTCATTCCATTGACCCATCCATCTTCTAAAGTGCAAGGAAGAGGCGGGGAATCTCATTATTTTTCTTCACAAAAAAGATGTTGCTTTTCACATTTTCTTTCATTGTTGTTCTCTTTCTCAGGCCGTGCCCCTGTCTCTTTCCTTTAGCTGTTAGAGGTGAGCTCTGAGACCTTCATAGGGTGGTGCTCTAACTGCCCCTCCCCTCACGAAGAGCTCCCTGCTGCCAGCCTACACCAGCCTGCTGATCTCTGGGCCATTTTTTTTTTTTAACCTCCCTGCAAGTTTTCCCAGGTCACCAAGAACCAGACAGGACTGGAGGCTGTCAGAACCAGGTAGAGGACTGAGTGTGAGAGACTGCCGTCTATGTCTCTGAACATCCGCATTGGTGACCTTGTGTGAGAGAGTCATTGCTTTCCAAAATAAACTGGAATCGTTTGCAATAAAGTCAGAATCCCTTGCTGTTTTTCACACTTCCTGGGCTCTATTTATGCATATCAGTTCAGTTTAGTCACTTAGTCGTGTCCGACTCTTTGCGTCCCCATGGACTGCAGCACACCAGGCCTCCCTATCCATCACCTACTCCCAGAGCTTCCTCAAACTCATATACATCG